AGAAATGTTTTTACAACAGTAACACTGCAGAAAAAGCAAAAGCAAAACAATTCTTTTATTCAATCTCACAGTTTACTGGTAACTTACATATTCTGATGATCTTAAATTATCACAAATGTTTTGGAAAAATACAACTCTATCTTGATACTAAGACATGGAGGGGGGAATATGAGGCTGCTAGTCATGAATGGACTGAGTGGCGGAAGTAGGTACCTAATTGCTACTTCAGGTTTTCATATTCTCCTGGTCCTATGAGTACCTTATAAATTCAAGTCCCTAAGCACTTATTTTCATTTTTGAATGCACCCAGCAGTATCTTGATCTTGACAGTACAAAACTAGTGCCTAATTGTCACCTAAGCCCTACAGAGAATAATAAACCAGTCTTCTTTCTGCTTGTGTTACTTGTGGGACTTGATCCAGAATGCATTGAGAGACATCTGGAGGGATCATGTTCCACACAAAACGTAGGAGATGGTGTGGGGATGCATTCACACTCAGCTAGGAGATCTGAAGGGACATTTCATACCGGTCAGGTGCACTGCGTTTCACAGAGCGGTAGAGTGTGTAGGTGTGAGCGCTGTAGTGGAGATGAGTTCTTTTGAATGGATTTAAAATGCCACTTGGTAAATGCTTCATACTTCCGTTATTTTTTTTCTCCTTGGGTAAGTTGAATTATTCCATGGAAAGTGCAGTGCAGTCAGTGAGCATGATCCAGGGATAATTGACAATCCAGTACCTAGAGATGCTTAGTCATGACTTGGTATGTTGCTGGGCCCAGAATCTTTTAGATTCCCTTGCTTATTTTAAGAAGACTGGTCCAACAAACCACAATGACTTTGAATCCTAAGGGGGATAACTGCCTTTTTGCAGGTCACGGCTAAGTAACTGACTTCTGCAGATACTTGGTCTTAGCTTACATCTTTTCAATTCTTTTCTTGTATAGGTGTAGTAAATTGGGGTTTGAAGTTTGTATCTCATTTTCAGAGGACTAGTAGAGTCCTTTTGCCTAATCTTTCCAAGACTAGTTTTAGATATTATTTCTCTCTAAAAGGGGACATGTTTGATGCCTATCCAGCATAGGATTGATTTTTCTTTTCCAGTTTGGGAGTGATTCTCTTGTGTCCTCTGTGAAAGATGGAAAGCATCCTGTTTGGGTATTATGTTTGCTGTCAATATCTGTATGTTTGCAACCAATTTTTACTACTTCTTGCTCTATAACCTTGTTAAGTCTTACACTTTTTATCCCAGAATTTCAGCACTTTGCCATTGTTTCCTTGGTTTTATAGATACTTCTCATGATTTTGTTGAAGCTACAAAATCATTAAACTTAATTCTTATTCCTTCAGGTCTCGCTATTAACAACTGTTCCTTTGGTCTCCTGTTGCATTCTGTATCAATTTTTAATTTTCTTTTCATTGTTCCATACAGCTGTACCCTCAGCAAATATCTCCAGTCTCTTTGAACATTCACAAGCCTGTCTACTCAACCCTTCTGAGGATGATAGCCTGTACCCTTTTCCCTCATTCAGTTACCATTTCTGTGACTGTTCTTCTTCCCCTATGCTGTTCCTTTGTGTGGCCTGCCTTTCTCCGATTTGATTAGCCATGTGAGTTCCTCTGTGACTTTTTCCCTTCCAACAGGTATGAAATGTTACCCTACTGTTATGCAAACAGTAGGTGCACATTTGTATCGACGTAGCATTTTTTTATCTTAAAAAGCGTATTTTCCCAACTGTTCACATTCATCATGGCCTATGTTCTGTCCCTTCTTTGGCATGTATTACCAACTCTCATACATCCACCTTTATCTTTGAATTTCCACGCCCAACTTGTACTCTTTTTTGAAATAAAGACTAATGGGTGCTTACTGTACTTCTCATAATACTTTGTGTCAAATCAGTAGCTAATTCCTACTTTTACTGCCACTTGGGGCTGACTTGTCCTCTGTCTGTGAATTCGGCTTATGGTATTAAAGGTCTCATTTCTTTTAAGCATTGTGTGTAATTTTACACACATTGCAGAATAAAGGAAACCAAACAGTTTGCATAACCATTAATGGATTTGAAAAGCTAAAATTAAAGCTGAAGTATTATTTTTTTAATGGAAATGTTTCAAAAAAAACTATTTTTTACTTAGAAGTATACAAATACATTGCGCTGTAGAGTCCAAACACATTTTGCTTACTACAGATCTGTTAAAATATTTATAGTAGCGGAAAATTGATGTAATACTATGATACAGACTGTGAAGAATTGATGTGGTAACCATCTCTGACATTCTTCTCTGTCACAAGAGACTGAAGAACAAGGAAAACAGCTATTCTATGGGTAGATGGAATTAGACAACCAAGTATGTAAGCTACTGTGCATCATATTTGAGAAGCTGTAGCAGTCTGGTGGAGTTCCACTGATTGGAAAAGGGGAAACATAACCCCCATCTTTAAAAGAAAGGAAAAAGGGAAGAGGAACTACAGGCCAGTCAGTCTCACCTCTGCTCCTGGCAAGATGATGGAGCAGATCCTCCTGGAAACCATGCTAAGGCACAGAGAAAACGAGATGATGGGTGACAGCCAACATGGCTTCAGAGAGGGCAGATCATGCCAGACGAATATGATGACGTTCTACAGTGAGGTCATATCCTTGTTGGATAAAGGAAGGTCAGCCGCCATAATCTAACTGGACTTTTCTAAAGCATTTGGCACTGTCCCACATGACCTTGTTGTCTCTAAATTGGAGAGGCATGGATTTGATGGATGGACCACTTGGTGGCTAAGGAATTGGCTGGACGGTCGCACTCAGTGTTGTGGTCAGTGGCTCAGTGTTCTGGGTGGAGAGAAGTGGTGTTCCTCAGGGTTGGTGTTGGGACAAGCCCTATTCAATATCATCGTCAGTGATATGGACGGTGCAATTAAGTGCACCCTCAGCAAGTTTGGCAATGACACCAAGCTGTGTGGACGGTCGACACGCTGGAGGGAAGGGATGTTATCCAGAGGGACCTGGACAGGCTGGAGAGGTGGGACTGTGCCAACCTCACGGAGTTCAACAACGCCAAGGGCAAGGTCCTGCACCTGGGTTGGGTCAATCCCAAATACAAGTACAGACTGGCTGGAGAATGGATGGAGAGCAGCCCTGAGGAGAAGGACTTGAAGGTGCTGGTGGATGAAAAGCTGGGCATGAGCCAGCAGTGTGCAGTGGTAGCCCAGAAAACCAACCGTATCCTTGGCTGTATCCAGAGCAGCGTGGCCAGCAGGTTGAGGGAGGCAATTCTCCCTCTCTACTCTGCTCTTGTGAGACCTTGCCTGGAGTGCTGCATCCAGCTGTGGAGCCCTCAACATCAGAAGGATATCGACCGGTTGGAGTGAGTCCAGAGGAGGCCACAAAGATGCTCAGCGGGCTGGAGCACCTCTGCCATGGGGACAGGCTGAGAGGATTGGGCTTGTTCAGCCTGGAGAAGAGAAGGCTCCGGGGAGACCTTATAGCACCTTCCAGTACCTGGAGGGGCTACAAAGAAGCTGGGGGGGACTTTTTACAAGGGCCTGTAGGGACAGGACAAGGGGGAACAGGTTTAAATTGAAATTGGGGAGATTTAGATTAGATCTGAGGAAGAAGTTCTTCCCAGAGAGGGTGGGGAGGCACTGGAACAGGTTTCCCGCGGAAGCTGTGGATGCCTCATCCCTGGAACTGTTTAGGGCCAGACTGGATGAGGCTTGGAGCAACCTGGTCTAGTGAAGGGTGTCCCTGCCCATGGCAGGGGGGGTGGAACTAGGTGATCTTTCAAGTCCCTTCCAACCATTTTGTGATATTTAGTCTATTAATACAGTTTGTTTGTTTAATTGGTTTTTTAAACATAAATGTCTCATGGAGGTAGGCAGTAGTTTTATTTATTTTGCATATTTGGAAATAAGTATTTGTCAAGGCATCATTCACTTTGTAATTAATTAAAAGTTCACCATAATGAATTTTTGTAATTTTGCAAGGCTGGAAATTAAAAGGCAAAGAACAGTGGTATGACATCTACTTTTTTGGCCTGGGTAAAGTGGAAACCAGGTATTCCATCTGTTTCTGTTGTTGAGTTGTCCGCCCTTGGTATAAACCAAAGAAATTCTCTGTCTTACAATTTTTGCTAGCATTATCTGTATTGATACTACCTGTGTTTGGTCAACATTTATGCTTAATGTTCCTGGTTTAGGTTCTTTCAGGTTTCTGGATTGTGACCAAAGCAGTATTGAAGACCTGTTTAAGGAGAGCTTAAACAAGACAGCGTAGTTTGATACTCTTTCAACTAGTTATGTGTCCCAAGTTTTAGTTTTTCCAGATATAACTACTAGACTGTTTAAAGGTCTTAAGGTAGTCTTCAACTTGGTAAATTGCATTTATTTCTGTCACTATCTGTTTGACTTATGAGTGGTGGGCTCTAGTTACATATATTGCTGCAGTCACTAGGGTTCTACTTAAGATGACTTGGATGTTATGAGCTGTCACATATGAATATGAGATGTATCACTGCTCTTTGCTGTGCTTATGTATTTTTCTGTCGTTTGCTGTAATCTTTGGAGAGTACTATTTAGAGCATCCTTTGGTGTGTTTATTACCGTGAAGGGGATGATGTCTTCTCCAAAAGTGTCTTTCATAGCAGAAGTGATTTTTTGCTATTTCATGAATATGAGAAAATCAAGTATCAACAAATTATTTCTCAGGGCATGGTCTTGTGTTACTCTTACCTGTTTTCCTCAAGGCTGTTAAGTGGTGTTGATGTCATTTCTGTTGTATTTGCTTTATGGAATGATCTCTGCTTTTGTGTACTCGAGTGTTGCTAATAATGCTAAGTCCTATCCTTTTCTCATGTGTGACGTGAAGGAGTCATACCAAATACTTGGAAATGATTACAGTATTTTTCAGGTATTAAAGACATCTATTTCTGCTACATTTATAAGAATAGGTGCTTCAGAACTACCTGACAAACCAACCCAAACCATTCTATGTTTCTATGATAGGAAGAAATGTGGGTGGAGTCTTTGAAGGTGATGTCTGTAATGTGACGAAATGAGTCAGGACTACCACAGTATTTTTCAAGTGCATATTCAGTTCTGGAATTTTTTTACAGAAGACACAGCAATATGAAACATTAGATTAAATGTTCAGGATCCATAATGATCAACTGGAAGTTCTGTTGCCTCTTTATGTAAATAGCATTTCTGTACTACTATCAACATGATCCTGAGATGTAGGCTTAAATCTGTTTTGTATCATGTTGTTAAATATCAGCTATAATCCCCTTGGAAAGAGTATCTTAAAATTCTGAAATAAATACATAATTATGTAAATACTACTGGAGACTGTTTTAAATATCCTTTGGATGCTAGGAACAATAAACTTTCTGGAACCCTTATTCTTACAGTATTGAGAGGTGAGCAAGATATGTAACCACTTTTTGCTGTTTTCAGTATGGCTTTGCTTTGACTTCTATTCAAGGTAGCCTTAGTTATTTTCAGATACTAACTAGTACTGCACTTCTGTCTTGTACTGAATGTCTCTGAGTAATGACACGTGCATATACTGATTAATTTTAGTATAATCAGTTTTTGGAGCTCTGTCAGTCATCTGGTATTGCTCTTCACTGAGATACTGCTGCAACTCAGGAAATATTTGGGAATACTTTTATAAGGGAAAAATATCAGAAGAATTTTTAAAACTGTTTAGATTCCATATGAGAAAGAAACTTTTACCTTCTTGTAAGATATAAGAGCTGTTCTTGTCTTGGAAATTGGAAGTATGAAGATAATAAAATGTTCCACAGTTCATTAATTCTTCAGAAGCAGTAGTTATTGCTAAATTATTTTCAATTTACTCCGAGTTTTTTTGGTCTGCGGAGACTGATCTCCATTTGTAGAACAAGCTTTTATACTCAGATTTGCTTATCAGCTTTTATCTGACTTGCTTGCAGGGTTATACTATATGTAGACAAATGTTAATGGAATACTCAGCTCTTCACCAATGTTTATCTGTTTCAGAAGTCTGTAAAGATACTTTTAAAAAGCCAGAAACCACCAAAAAAAAAAAAAAAAAAAAACAAAACCCCCCCCACACCACAACAACCGTTTCATCCCTGGTTGTCCCATGACCTCCATCATTTGAGGCTATAAAAACTATTTCCATTGGTATCTCCTAAAGTTCTTAGAGTATTGATCTTAATGTTCTGTAGGGGAGAGGGGACATTTGGGCTTAAAGCTGAAAATTGATCAAAGGTCAGTCAGTGGAGTACGTAAGGCCGGAAAAGCCCTCTCGGTGCTGAATCATGGTTCTGTACTCTGCATTGTGGTTGTGTGGGAGACATGGGATGCATGGGATGGCACAACTGCTATCCATCCCCAAAACAAAAGTGAAGGAAGGCTGCAGGGTGTTTATCTTCAGTTTTGCACTATGGAAGTTGTGTAATGAAGTCAATAACGGGAAAACTGCCAAAATGCATCTTGCTGGATTTTGAGAGTATGATATACAAACTTGCCTTGACATAAAAGTGAGAAGAAACAGGAGTTTTCTTGGTTGTGGTGTGTTGTTTTTGGTTTTTTTGGTTTTGTTTTGGTTCTTTTAAGGAGTGCTGGTGTGGTTTAATTTCTACTCCTGTCAAAATACAACTGTGGTTATGAAAGCAAACATTTTCAGAATGATCGTGTCATTTGTTCATAGCCTCTCCCATTGTTTCTGGAGAGTAGGGAAGAATGCAGGTGTAGCTTGGGCGTTCTGTCTATGTATCAGCACATTGTCACTCATGAATGAACCCAAGGACGTTACCAGCTTTCAGTGTGCATGTTGCATAGGTCTGTTGCAGAATTTAAAGGGCTAACTTGAAAGCATACTTACATTTTGAGTTTCAGCAATATTTGTGAAAGTAAGTTGTTGTACAGGTTTAAAATATCCATAACATACCATAATTACACTTTTTTTTTTCTACACAGGCATTCGTAAAGGATGTGCATGAAGATTCTATAACAGTTGCATTTGAGAACAAGTAAGTGTATTGCTGATGTTATACCTATAAATGATGAGTATCAACCTTGCATGTGATTAACCTAAATATAACTTAGTAGAGTAGCATCTTCCAGATACTCTAAGCCTGCTGCTATCATCTTTTAGAACTCTGTTTGATATTTACTGTGTTGTGACATATCTGCATAGATGCTTTTAATTATTTAAATATTTTAAAGTACAAAACTGTAGTAACATGGGGTTTGTTGGGAAGATAAGTGTGTTACTGAGCTTACATGATGACAGCGCATGTTTGAATAAGTCAGCTGTGGTACCATGACTGCCTCTTTTCTCATGTGAAAGTCTTTCTTCAGATTTAGCAGATTACATTATTAAAAAATTTGTTCCATTGGTAAGTAATAAATACCATTTTTCCCATCATTTGAGGGCATAATAAGTTAATCTTCCATGATAGCATTTAGTTTAGGTTTCATTTCCTTCAGGAAGGAAATAACACGCTGCTATATACTTTTTCCTGTTTATCTTTGTTATGGCATCATCTGTTGTATTTTGAAAATTGCTTTTAATTTCTTTAAAAATAATATTTTCTTGCCGTGCTCATTTTATCCAGTCTTTACTAAAGAAACTGAAAATTGAAACTGTATTCAGACTGAATCCTGGTCAAGTTTTCATAATCTATAGTAGAACCGAAGAAAGAAGAAATAGCGTTGTTTTGAAGGAATTGTCCAAACGTGTTCTGAAACATTTTTTTTAATCTGTGTTTCTAATGTTAGGGTTAAAACTTATAACTGTAAATGAAATCTTTCAGCAGCAGTTTTTACTTCAAGAGTGCAGGTAGCATCAGGGAATCACTTGAGATGCTTAATAGTCACTTAGGTGTGTTTCTTCGTATTATATATACATTGGATCACATACCTTTAATGCATATATGCACGAAAGCTCTACAAAATTTAAGAATTTGACATTAATTAGTTGAAAAAGTTTGCTTTCTATTTACAAAGATGGTGAAAATACTTAGGCCACTCACTATTTTTATTTGTAGCTGGCAGCCAGAGAGACAAATACCATTCCACGATGTGAGGTTTCCGCCACCGGCAGGCTATAATAAAGATATCAATGAAAGTGATGAAGTAGAGGTATGTATGCTCCATTAATAACATTTGTTCTGAGAAGTGAGAGAACTCGGTGAAAAATGTCAGTCAAGCCAGTGGAAGGTTTGCTTCTGAGTTACATGCTGTCACCTCTTTTGATTCCAAGTATTACGTAAAACACAATGTCTAGCATGTCATCAGAAAGAGATTTTGACAGTTGTAAATCATACAGCTGGTTTGGAATTTTTTGTAACATGGCTTCCATGCTGACTTGCAGATATGATCAACGTTTCTTTGATCAAAGATAAGTTATTTGTCAGAATTGAATTAATCCAGAAATAGGTGCTGGACTGTAACTTTGAGCTGAAGAATTAATAATGTTTACATTACCATAAGTTCAAGCTGAACAAGATAATTTGTGCTCTACTTGTGTACATAAAATACAAAAACACATATCTATATGTAAACATGTATGTATATATACAGAGAGACTGTCTTCAATACTGGACATTTCCTAAAACTTTCTTATTTTATGAAATTATAAATTTTATAAAATTTCTTTTATAGTTTGAAGCATCAAATAATTAGCCATTGTTGCATGCCACATATTCAATAGCTTTGAATTACTGTTTTTAAAAATAGATGGGAGGGAATATGGCATTGTTGTGGTTTAATCCCAGCTAGCAACAAAGTCAAACCACCATGGACCTGGTACTAAGGTGGACTAGAACTGTATCTGGCACAACACCACAGTAAAAATGAGAGATGGAAGGGGTGAGACTGATGTTGGTAGGACGTACAAAGGGATGGGTTTGTCTATGGATAAATAATTGCTTTAAAAAAAGAGAACTTTGCATTTTGCTTGCATGTGGTTTATTTTTGATGTGAAATGTAAGAAAATGGCAAAACTTCTTCCGTGTCGATGTGGTTGATGTCATGTTTGTGCTAAAGCAGTGTAGATATGTGCCCCTTCCCTTCCACCTCCTGGTAGGACCTATTCAGACTTACACACAATTAGACATATTGTTGGTTGAATATTGACAGATGTAAAAGGTTGAATTTGCTCTCTTCCCATTGTATGCAAGACTGAAACAACTAATGCCAGTAGATAGGGTTCAATACTATTCATCTGTACAATCTTATATACATAATTTCATATCTTACCTGTACTTGCAGTAGACATTTCAGCTGTTAAGATGCTTGCTATGTAGTGCTTAGGCTAGAAACTTCATCTACCAACAGTTTTGCTGGATCTTGTTCCTTGTCATATTGGTTAGTGTCAGCTCTTGCAATGTCTTAAGAATGCTACAGATAATCTGCGTGTTTTGTTTAGGTTTATTCCAGAGCAAATGAAAAAGAGCCCTGCTGTTGGTGGTTGGCTAAAGTGAGAATGATAAAGGGTGAGGTAGGAATATGCATATATATATACATATATTTATTTTAATATTTATTTATACTTTTTTTTCATGTGTTATTTTTTATATTGATGTGAACAGTGTTTTTAACTTGTCCCTCTTCATTTTCAAAGAGTTTCTTTATTGGGACTGTTGCAATTTCTGTTAACCTCAACCTAAAAAGTTCAAATTTGACTGTCACAGTTAACAAAAGTGCTTTTCACTTAATAGTGTAATGCTTACTCTTGTCATAAAATGTATGGCTTTGGTGATTTTATTGTTTTTATCAGTTCTACGTAATAGAATACGCAGCCTGTGATGCTACGTACAATGAAATTGTCACAATTGAGCGTTTGAGATCTGTGAACCCCAATAAACCCGCAACAAAAGATACTTTCCATAAAATCAAACTGGCAGTTCCAGAAGACTTACGGCAAATGTAAGTACAAACATTTCTTTTTCCAGTCGTGTGTAACTTCTTGAGCCTAATGTTCCTACTGCTTTAAATTAACTTCTAAATTTTTCATATAAGAATGTAGAAAATACAAATGTGGACATGCTCATACTTCAGAAGCAAAGATTATTAAACGCAGTTTAGTTTTGGAGGAGGAAGTACTTCCTTCAAGGTTTGTGTGCATTATAGATTAAGATTTTTGTTCATACAGCTCTTCAGTGATGTGCACAGATTAATCTGAATCCGTTCTTTGTCAACTTTATTGATAACTTTCAAGTTGTCACTCTTTCATTGATAGAGTATCTGACAGTCTGTGCAAGTTGGTATTTAATGACAAAAAGAAGTGCTGCCTTATGTTGTAGGGTGTAATGCGTTCTGATGATGGCTATGGGAATAGCTGTGCTATAATCAAACCTCCCGTAGCATGAGATAGAAACAGCTGGTTTTCTCCTGGAACATGGACATGTCATTCTTATGTAGCTATAGCTCTAACACGTAGATTAATATCAACTTTCCTTTTTTAGCATCAGATCACCTTCTCCTTGTGAGAGCTACATTTTAGTGCCCCAGTGTGGAATAAGCTATAAATTCAGGTTAAACTAAGAACTTGTCAAGTTGGTGTTCTAATACACAGGTTCACTAGTGAGTGGACAGAAGGAGCCTAGAGAAGCACAATATGTTACGAGATGAGCATAAGGTCATTAGGATGCTGCAGTGGCTCCAGTGAAGTCACACAACATACTGGTTCATGGTGTGTTTGAAATTCTGGACTTGCTGATTGTAACAATTACAGCTTTTTAATGCAGTTTTGCTTAACTGCTTTGTCATTTCATATATGTACATGCAGAAAACTTCTGAAATGTTTCTAATCCTAGTCATGTGAAAACACATGAAAGAAAAATGAGCAAAATAACAGAATAAAATAGTACCTGCATTAAAAGCTTTAGATATATTTATTTAGATTCTTTGTATTTAGAAATTAATCTTTCTTGCTGTGAGCCATAAATGCAGCAGTTAAAATAACTTTGTAGCATTTTTTTCCTAGGTGTGCCAAAGAATCTGCACATAAGGACTTCAAAAAGGCAGTTGGAGCTTTTTCTGTAACGTATGATGCTGAAAACCACCAGCTTATTATTTTGGTAAGTACAAACCTCCAACCATACCATCAGCAGGGGTTTGTTTCAAAAGCTCATGTGTAAACCACTGTGTTTTCTTTATTAATAATTTAGTCAATCAATGATGTAACAACAAAGCGAGCAAATATGCTGATTGATATGCACTTTCGAAGTCTTCGCACCAAGTTATCCCTGATACTGAGAAATGAAGAAGCTAGCAAACAGCTGGAGGTATGTTGTTTGTATTCCCTGAAGTAATTTGAGTAAAAGTCAAAAAATACTCTTGCATTTCTTAGCTGGTAGGACTTGCATTGGGGTGGAAGTACTTATTATGAACTGATACTATTCTTAAATAGAATAGTATTTAATTCGTACTATGTTTTAACGAATAGTACTCTATTCGTTAAAACGAGGCAGATGGAGATGTAACCCAACAAAGTTGTTTATGGTTAAAGGGCCTGTTCTTCAGCAGGATTTTGTGCAGGGTTAAATACAAATGTATCTATATACACACATACACATTCATAGCTTGAAGCATCAAATAATTAGCCATTGTTGTGTGAGTAGTGCACATATTTGAATTACTGTTTTTAAAAATAGATGGGAGGGAATATGGCATTGTGGTTTAATCCCAGCTAGCAGCAAAGTCAAACCAGCACGGACCTGCAGCAGGATTTTGTGCAGGGTTAAATACAAATGTATCTATATACACACATACACATTCATAGCTTGAAGCATCAAATAATTAGCCATTGTTGTGTGAGTAGTGCACATATTTGAATTACTGTTTTTAAAAATAGATGGGAGGGAATATGGCATTGTGGTTTAATCCCAGCTAGCAGCAAAGTCAAACCAGCACGGACCTGGTTATGAGGTGGACTAGAACTGTACCTTGCACAACACCACAGTGAAAATGAGAGGTGGAAGATGGAAGGGGTGAGACTGATGTTGATAGGATGTACAAAGGGGTGGGTTTGTCTATGGATAAAATGTTAGCATCTTAGAGTAGATACAGCTTCTGACATTCCTGTGACTGGAGAGTGGGTGTTGACTAGCAAGAAGCTTGACTCATACTTGTCGGGGGGGAGGGGGGAAGAAAAACAACAAAAAACCCCCCAACAAAACAAAAAGAGTAGACTGGGAAATAAGGGGATCTTTATACTGCAAAATTAACATTTTTTTCATGGTTTTTATTCTATCTAGAAATCAGGGAAAAAAGGCAACATTTCTGAAAACTTCTTTTTAGATTCACTGTCAAGAACTAGAAGTACCACTTGAACTAGTGTCATTCAGTTTTACATGGGTGTATAACAGCTCTGTTACTTTAGAGACAGGTTTCATTCCCCCCACCACAAGGGTTACATCTACTTGGTTTCAGCTTGAATTGGGATGGGATGTAGTAGTTCAGGCCTCTTGTGTCCAGTAGGTGTACTCACTGTTCCAAGAAGTTCTCTCTTCTGTCTTTCCTTTTAGTCTCTTGACTTCTCTATTTCAGAGTTGTAATCCAAGTTTGTTTGGGTCTGGACTTTTCTCAACATGAAGAAAGGATGAGTTTTTTCTCATTGGTGTTCCTTCTTGAGCACCTCACTATTAGCTCTTCAGTAATCTGTTCTTCCCTGTCTTCCTCCAGAACTGACAATTGTGTGGGCAGTTCACCTCTTGAAGTGCAAAGTATTATTTTGGAGGTGGGAAGAACAGCAGCCTCTTTAGAGCTAATTCTCTCCACATGCCCCCACAAATGCTTGCACCAACAGCTGTTGTCATTGATTCCTTTCACAAACTAACCTTGGATTCTTGCTGTCGTTGTAAGGCTGAATGTTTTTGCTACTGTCAGGGACTTGAGAAGTTGATGTGGTTCTCACTAGAAAACCATTATTGGACTTTAGTTTCTACCTGAGCAGTGCTTAACAGAAGGTTGAAATAAATACAGCTCTGATTTGTGTGACAAAAGTTGTGTGGTATTTTTCATGTTGGCATTTGCTACCTGTACTTGCAATGAATAGAAAATCACTTTCAACCAAATCTAAGAAGAAAAGCTTCAGATAGTAAAAATCATACTCGTGACTTCTGTAGAGACACTGACACAAACAGACTGCACATGTCCATCTGCAGAAGAAATATTTAGTGAATGCTTTGGGCTTTACTGCATTATTATTAATAGTTCATCGTTTCCATCAAATAAGCTCTTTCCTGTGTCTTAGGCTCTCTGAACTTTAAATGTCTGCCATGGTATTTCTTCTAGCAGTTCTACTTTTCCTGCTTTCTGCGCCATAATCACTACACCAGCTTCTTGATATTTGGTTTTGCTTTTTTCCTTTCCATTTGTTGTATCTTCTACCTTCTTTCTTTTCCAAATATTAGCTTCTTGACTTGTATGGCTCTACTTTTTAAAGGTGGATTTTAGAGCATCAAGTGAAAAACAAGTATTTTTTGTTTGTGTTCTTTCCCAGCAGGTGTGGCTTAGTTGTTATTTTGACATTATAAAAAGCCTTAATTTCCAAGTGTACTTTTGCATTCCCATTTGTATTTTACTCTGTCTAAATGCAATTCACTCATGGCTTCTAAGTAGGTATTGACACAATGTTTGCATAGTTTTTTCATACTAATATATTGGAGGGAGGTAGAATACAGAATATCCTAGGTTTAAATAAAATACATCTTGTAATACATGATTTACAGAAAAGCTAATGATATTTTAGTATAAGCAGTATAACTGCAGTTTGACTGTCATAGCCAAGGTCCTCGCAGATGATATAGCTTCATCTTTTCAGCATATCATAGATAATTATCAGTTGTTAATACAACTGACTTGATCATCCTGTTCTGTGATCTCATGAGCGGTCTGTAACAGATGTCAACTGGTAAAGTGGCAATTGGATTATCTGTTAGAATGTAGATATGTGAGCATTTAAAATAACATCTGCTCTCAGTTGTCTGTAATTTAGTTAATGAAGTGCTTGATAGAGCTCTCTGAGTGTATGAAGTATTTCATGACACTTGGATACTTACACTTACTGTAGCCAGTTCTCTGTGACAGTGACAGCACAGGATATTTATGAAGAGCTTTAAGCAGGAGCAGGTCAGATAACAGTAGCCATTTAGCTGGGATAGTAGGGCTTGTTGTGGGCGCTTTCTTGATGATTTCTCAACTTCTGTAGGGTCTTACATTGCTGAGGATAAACTGCTAATTTAAAGCGTGCTTGAATATGTCTCCACAGTAGTTACGGCTTCGATTGTGATGCAGAAACATGTATAGGATTATATATCTTGGCTCTGGAAAGTTAACATACAGCTTTATCTTTTTTTTTTCTTCATTGAAAAACACTTTTCATTTTACTTAACAGAGAATTTCCAACTGTGATAATTTATCTTCCCTCAGTGCATTACAGTATTGTTACTTTCCTGTGTTCTGTTATGCTCAGATGCTTGTGGACAGCATCCACGATTTCGTATAGGAATTTTACTCGCCATGGTAAATAATGACTTCTGTACAAATTTTTGTATTTTCTCTTCTCTGTAGATTTAAGTACTGTAACTTTGACAACTTCGTTGTTATAAACAATATCTGTGGTGTTCTGTATGTATATCTTACGGATTTGTTTTTGTGTGTTTCTTTTAGTTCTCAGGTGACCAAACTTAGTGATCTTTCTGCTTCATATAGCACAAGCATCCTATGAGAAAACTATCTGTTTTTTTTGAAAGTATGAAGAGGCTGTGTAGGAAAACTTAGAAGTCATTGTTTTAGTCTTTTCAAATATGTGGTTTCTGTTTTTAACAGTTTCCCCATTGCTTAACAGGTCTGAACTGCATGCAGTTCATAATTTCCCAAATGTTTTTTCCTTGCACTCATGAGGTCTGTTCATGCTAATAATCTGAGCCAAAGTTTTATCCAAGTTTCTAGTTATACTATGAAAACCTTCTTCCAGATCCAAAAGTTGGTTAGTTTTTTATTGGCTTTCTTTTCTCTCTTGGTATCATATTTCACATAGGGGAGATCTTCACTGAGAATCTGTAAGCCAGTCTGTGTTGTTTGATTACACCGTAACAGTTGCATGCAGAGGGGATGAGAGTTGCAAAACAATAACCAAGCTTTTAATTCCAGAGTAACTGAACCTCAGACACATGGTTGAAAGTTGTTTTAACAGTATAGTCTTTAGTCATTGTTACTGCCTTGTTGAAACAAGGAATTTTGTCTTGATAGCATGTGACAATCTCACAAGTTCTCAGATTGACCCTTCTGGTTTTTGTACAAATGTAAGTCCTAGATGAAATTCTTAATATACTTCTTTGCTGAATTCAAGCAATGTATTGCAGTTACACCTTAATTTTGTGTTGTCTGGGCATAGATTCTTAACTTTATTTTTAAGTGCACAGTTACTGTTTTTATATAGTTTTTGTGTCCAGTGATTGAGTTACTGCTGTTTCTCCCTACCTGTTGATATGGGTACCATTTTTTTTTCTAAGATGTAACAGTTTGCTTTACTAATCAACACAGCTCCTGTTCTACAAACTGAGACGAATGCTGTCTTACCTAGTAACACTTGGTAGCTGTAGATAATTCTATGGTAATTCAAAATAAAGAGGTGTCAACACAGCTAGAGGCTGGCATTGTTTAATAATAAAAGGTGATATTAGGACTTGTGAAGAAGCCTCCGTGGTGTTTTTGAACTGAAAATAAGTTCATTAAAAGGATTGATTTTAAAATAAGTAGGCCAAGTACCTGATTAAAGAATTGGCTCTATATTTATGTTGATTTCCCTCTCCAGTGTACTACAAAGCCGAGTAGAATAACGTTACATTTTTCTTCAGAGTTCTAGACAACTTGCATCACGATTTCACGAGCAGTTTGTTGTACGTGAAGACCTAATGGGTTTGGCCATTGGCACTCATGGTGCTAATATTCAGCAAGCCAGAAAAGTCCCTGGAGTGACTGCTATTGATCTGGATGAAGATACTTGCACATTCCATATTTATGGAGAGGTAAGTTCCCTTCTTTAGCCTTTCAAATGAGAAAAAAGGAAAAAAACCCAAATGAACAATGAAAGAAAAAAACCATCAAACTTGGCATAATGAATCTCATTTCTGTATTTTAGGATCAAGATGCGGTGAAAAAGGCAAGAAGTTACCTTGAATTTGCTGAAGATGTTATACAAGTCCCAAGAAATTTAGTAGGTATGTCGATTCTGGAAGCTAACTGTGTGATAGTAAGTAATAATGCCTTCTGAGAACTGTTTCTTGCTTTACAAGGGTGACAATAAAAATTTGAAGTTCCCGTTGTGAAAGGGTTCTAGGTGGTACAAAGTTGGTTGGGGTTTTTTTGTTGTTTTCTTCTCCAGCTGCATGCAGAACTTTTACAGACATACTTGCCTTCAGTATATTGTAAGAGTATATTGTAATCATAACCTGGTTTGCAGTTCAGGGGTGTCTTCAGCTAGAAGCAATGTGCTGATGTTTAAATACAAAGTAGAATAGCTTCTGGGTTGAGCCAGGGAATTAAATTACTTCCTCCAGAGAGATCCAGAGACTTGTTTAGCTATACAGAAGATGAATCTGCAGTCTCATATTTTTCTAGTATATTTTGAATCACTTCTTTGACTTGTATTTGTCTTTTTTTCCTGTCCTTTTACATCTGCAATACTTCCAGTTTGTTCAGAAGCAGGACTGTAGGATGAACTGAATGACTAGTTAACGTACCCAGTGATCAAGAAAACATCCCAAAGACAATCTAATAGATTTCTGTTACCCTAAAATAAATCCCTGTGTGTGTGGGAAATCTAATGAGCTTTTGGTGCTACATAGCAACATAAAAATACATGGCTTAATTTAGTAGATGAGGAGAAGAACAGGGAAAACACTATATGGTATAACATACCTCTAAAACCAAATACACTGCTTGACAGCCTAGTAAAGTATTAAAGGTGGTCTTGAAGCAGTATGAAACTCCCTGCTCCTACCTGATTCTACTCATGATAAGTAGAAATTAGAAGCTGCCATCATTATTTTAACTTTGAACCTTGTAGTGGTTTAACTCCGGCTAGC